GTGTCCGAGGCCACCAGGACGTGGTTGCCGTCAGGTGCCAGCCCCACGATCCGTGTCCACGGCCGCGGGTCAAAGACCACCGCATCCGGGTTGGCGACCTTGTCCTTTTTGACCCATTCCAGGCAGCACGCCACGAGGATTTCCCCGTCCGACTGCACTGGTGCAAATCCAAGGTCATGCAAAATCAACTGGAGCGCGGTTGGCGCCCCTAGGAAGGTCGTCCCAAACGGGGAAGGGAGGCGGGGCCTCCACATCATCATGATCCACTCGAGCCGGGGGCCTAGTCCCTAGGTGCAAACCCCAACCAAACAACAGGGGGCCCCCAAAACCCCGGAAAGTCAACCCCGAAACGGAGGAAACGGGACCCAGGGAGCCGCCCCGAAAAGGGAAAACCAAACAAGAGAGGGGAACCAAGGCGCACCCCGGATCAGCCCAAGCCGCGCCAATTTTCCTCGCCTGGTGCAAGTCTGGGCCTGCGCTGTTCCCTGGGGGGGGATATCAGCGCCTTCGGCAGCTGTCCCCCCCCCGGGGTGCGCTGCGCATCCGTTCCGGATGGCCGCGGTCCTGGATGGTGTGCCGGAAGATGGCGTTGTCCCGCATCATCACGCGGCCCCCTTCGCGATGTCATCGATGCGCTTGAGCGCAGCAGCCTCCGGATTCCGCAGAATCAGCTCCCAGATGGCATTGGAGACGTGGCCTGTCTGGGTGGTCTGGCTGAATCTGAACCTGGGCACCTTCTGGTCCACGATGGAGACGTCCCGCAACGGGGCCGAGGGCTCCACCCGGCGGTAGTACTCCAGCCGCTCCTTCACCCAGCGGTTGTAGAGGCCCTCCGGCGGCTCGTCCAACACCAGCTGCAAGATGGCCTTGCCGGCCCGGATCTGGAGGAGGCGGGTGCCCCCTCCCCCGGCACGCCAGTACCCCTTACAATACTTGCACATGTAGCCCCCCCGGGTCTCCCCTTTTGTCTTCGGGATGAGTTCCCACGGGGTGACGGAGCTCAGGACCAGGCCACACTCCATGTGCGCCCAGAAGACATGCTTCATCTCCACCGGATAGTTCTTCTTCCGGTAGTCCTTACCCACCACGCCGTGGACGTTGTCCGCCGTGATGGGGGGGTAAACGATCCCCTCATCGCCCTCGCCTCCCCTGGGGCGGATGTCAGGGCCATCGGCACCTGTCCGGCACCCAGGGGCGGAGGGGTCCAGGCCCATCAGCTTGATCATGTCGTTGGTGTAGCCGAGCTTGCGGTAGATGGAGGGGGCCACTGAGTCGGGGACTGCGCCGACCCACCACTGCTTCGTGTTGCAGCGCCAGTTGACCTTCACCTCCGCCAGGGCCCCCGGGCCTCCAATGCGGTCCATGAGGGCCTTGTACACCTCTGGGAACTGCTGGAGGCTCTCCACCGGGACCGAGATGCGCTCGTCGCATACCGCCCGCAGGATCATCTGCTCCTTGGAGTCCGCCACGTCCTGGACCGGGAGCTGCATCACCTCCGCCGGGGTGTCCGTGAGGAAGGCCCGGGCCGCGAGGACCTTGCCCATGGCCCGGTAGACCAATCGCCACTCCGGTCCTGTCTGCGGAAACGGAAGGCCCTCCTCCTTCAGGAAGCACCGCGCGTCCTCCTTCAGGGTCTCCCAGCCCTCCAGGCGGGTCTGATTCTGGGCCTTGTTTTTCGGGCCCCGCTGCCTAGGGCCCTGCAGCAGTGGCAGAGACTCCCAGACTCCCCAGAGCTGGCGCAGGGTGTAGCTGTGCCCGAACATCCCCAGTAGGCCTGGGAGTGTCCAGGACGAGATCTGGCGCGTCCAGTGGAAGTCCTCATCCGGATCGTGGGGGGCAGCCCAAAAGATGGATCGCAGGTCCCCAGGGTAGGGTCGGTCCCCCGCCTTCGCCTGCTGGTTCAACTCATCAACGGAGTACCTGGCCCAGGGGAGTCCACCCACCTGGTGGTTCCTGGGATGCGTACCCTTCTCCAACGCCTCCGGATTCACCTTGGTGAGGTTTTTCGCCCAATCCGGGACGTGTACCGGGCCCGGTCGTCGGACCCAGCGGCCCGCAAAGATACGGACCTCTCCGACCCGTTTGCTCATCATCCAGCGCAGGACCGAGAGCTGCACCTCCGGGTCCTTGGTGTCCAGGCCCACCGGGGTGGCGGACGGCTTGTCAGGGCCCTCGGCACCTGAGCTCGTCACGCCAGAGCCCGAGGCTGGGGGGATGGTGGGCGGCCTGTCAGGGCCCTCGGCACCTGGGCGCGCCGCACCAGAGCCCCCCGCCTTTGGCATGGGGATCCCTGTCAGGTCCGGCAGATCTGACTTTGGCATGGGGATCCCTGTCAGGTCCGGCAGATCTGACAGGAGGGCCGCCGATTCCTACCGAGATGACCGCCTTGGCCTCAAGGTAGGAGTCCGTGAGGGATGTGAGGTCGTCCATACTGAAGTCCCTCCATGCCGTTGTCGGCTCGAAGACCCCAGTCTCAATGGCGACCCGGACCTCGCTAGGCCACGCACTGAAGGGAGGCGCGATGGGCTCGAGCATTCTGGTTTCGAGGGAGCCTTCGCCTCTGTGGTCTGGGCCTGGAGGAGCTCCGGTGTGGGTCTCCCCCAGTCCGCACCCAGCTTGTCCAGCAGCTTCTCACGGAAGAGGTCCAAGTCCAGGTTCTTCAGGAGCAGGCCTCCATCACCTCCTCCGTCAATGGCCCCCCCTTGAAGTTCGTGGAGGACCGCCGCGGAGCGCTCCACCGCTTCCACCTGGTCCGCCTTCTTGGCCTCCTCCTGGGCGATGGTGGTGGCGTTGAGCCGGGTCTGAATCTTGAAGGCCTTCACCGCAGACGGGTGGAAGGCTCTGCATTCCTGGCCCTCTTCCTTGTCGCCTGGCAATGGGGGCCTCTCCCCCGGTGGGGCCGTCAGAAACTCCTCGTCCAGCTCCATGGGGCAGTTCCTGATCACCGCCCGGACCGAGGAGGGGACGAAGTCCGAGAAGCTGGCCTGGTCCGGGTTCTCGCAGGCCATCGGGTCGGTGGCCAGCTCGCTGACGTCCACCGAGGCACTGAGCTTGAGGTCGCGGGCCCGGTCCGTGTCAGGGCCTTCGGCACCCGCGGACCGGGCCGCCGTCCAGACCGCATTGCCCTGGTCATCCACCGTCAACTGCCAATGCGTGCCCGCCATCTCCAGGGTGGCCGAGTTGGTCGCCATGTCAATGGGCTCCGTCTTCTTGCCGCACCCCATGCACTTCGTGGCGCCCTTCTTCACCCAGGGCATGGTGCAGCAGGGGCAGATCCAGGATGTGGGCACCTTGCCCAGGGGGCGGTTCTCCAGGCCCCCGTACCCCAAGCCAGCGCGCTTGCCAACCTGCTGTCCCGGGGTGCTGAGCCGGGCCTCATGCTCGTACTTCATCTTGGCGATGTAGAAGGCCTCCACAACGCGCTCCAGGCCCCCCTGCTTGAGTTGGGGGCCCTCAAAGCCTCGCAGGAGCCGCTGGACGTCCTTGGCCTGCAGTCGGCGGAGCCTAGTGGCCGTGGTCGCATCGAAGCAAGGGAAGTCGCCCGCCATCTGGTCGTCGCTGAACTGGTAGAGGCCCTCCGAGACCTTGAGGGCCTTGGTGAACACGCTCCCCCCCGGCGGGGGGGCTGCGGGGTTCTCATCCTCCTCCGAGGACGCCTGCTCCTTGACCTTCGCCATCAGCTCCCGGCGCCTCTGCCACTTGGCGTCTGCCCGGGCATCCAGGCGGGCCTCCTCCAAGCGGGCTGCAGCCGAGGGGAACCTGGGCATCGGCAGCTCCTTCTCGTCCTTCGCCAGGAGCTCCTCCATGGGCACGTCCTCCTCCGGCGGGTTCAGGAGCTCCAGGAACGCCCCTGAGGGGCGTGTCAGGGCCTTCGGCACCTGCGCCACCCCAGGGGCTGCATCTTCCATCGGCTCATCCTCTGCCTTGCGCTTGGCCGGGATAAGGGGGGCCTGCTCCAGCTCATCTGCGCTGGAGAAGAAACGCTCGTCAGGTGCCTGAGGGACCTCAGCAGCCAAAACGGTCCATCCTTCTTCCTCCCTCTTCACGAGGTTCGCCAGGTACTTTGCCATGGAGGCCTTTGCCTTAGCCTTGGCCTCTGCTGCCGCGGCACCAGCGTAGGCGGGGGCGTACATGGCTTTGAGAGTAGGGGAAAGAAAGATTTCAAATCACAAGACAAAGGATCAAAAGGTCCACTTGAGCCAAAATGGTGGCCCAAGTGGATACTTATTAAGAGTCAAGACAAGCGACCACCTACGGTTAACGCTTTAGCCCAAGCAAACCAAACCAACCATACCAAACCAACCAAGCAAACCAAACCAACCATACCAACCAAGCAAACCAAACCAACCATACCAACCAAGCAAACCAAACCAACCATACCAACCAAGCAAACCAAACCAACCAAGCAAACCAAACCAACCAAGCAAACCAAACCAACCATACCAAACCAACCAAGCAAACCAAACCAACCAAACCAACCAAGCAAACCAAACCAACCATACCAACCAAGCAAACCAAACCAACCAAGCAAAAACCAACCAAGCAAACCAAACCAACCAAACAAACCAAGCAAACCAAACCAACCATACCCAAACCAAGCAAAACCAAACCAACAAACAAACCAAATACCAACCAAGCAAACCAAACCAACCAAACCAACCAAGCAAACCAAACCAAGCAAACCAAACCAACCATACCAAACCAAGCAAACCAACCAAGCAAACCAACCAAGCCAACCAAAACCAACCAAGCAAACCAAACCAACCATACCTAACCAACCAAGCAAACCAAACCAACCATACCACCAAGCAAACCAAACCAACCAAGCAAACCAAACCAACCAAGCAAACCAAACCAACCATACCAAACCAACCAAGCAAACCAAACCAACCATACCAACCAAGCAAACCAAACCAACCATACCAACCAAGCAAACCAAACCAACCAAGCAAACCAAACCAACCAAACTGGAAGCTCGACCCCGAACCTTGAGACATCGGCCTCCCTCAAGCTCTCGTAGAGCTTGGGAATGTCTACGTCCACCTGAGCCAATGTGCCCCCATGCACTCGCCGAAACAAACCCCATGGATGCTCAAAGAAAGATACATCCCAGGTTCTTGTGGTGTTGGCTTTTTTGCACTTCGAAACATCGGCTCCCAGCGCCCTCTTCTGGTGAGGTCTGCGACACCAAGCCGGCGTCTTGTTGTTCTTTGTTCTAATTTCCTGGGGGTGAACCCTCTGCGCGCATGAAATCAGCTGGTTTGGGCACTCGCCTGGTCTTGCAGGCCAGCTTCGACTCATTAGGGTCGGTTGGCCGTGGCCTTGATTGCCGTCCAATACTGATTCCAGAGTCCTAAGTGAAGCTCCTATCAAAGGTCTGTCAGTCATTCCGTCCCTGTTTGCCCGCAAATAACATTCAGGCAATCGACCACCAGTGTCCCGCTCCCACACTCCGCGAAGGAGGCATAACCAGCAATGTGTCCAATGTGTCCCCCATTTTCTCCAATCGCCATGTCTCGCATGGAACAAACAATAAGACACTGCATCCAAGGAATCCCTCAGTCTGTCGCACATAGATGAGCATCGGCAATGCCGATGTCATCGAAAAGACCTTGCGCCACACTCACCCCAAAAGCTCCGAGTTTCTGTTCCTATTCAGCCCAGCTGGTCCAACTGGGAGCAAAAGGGGCCAGGCATTTTTGCAGGGCAGTGCATGTGTTCTTCCAAAAAAACCTTTTCTCGCTGACGGTTCACAATGATGGGCTCTTTTTTGTTTGGTGCGAGCAAGCTACAATAACCAGAGCAACAAGTGAAAGGACAATCTGTCCGCACTGAGCTTGATGGGCCGGCTGAAGAGAAGCCGCTCTGCGCCTTCTGGGTTGTTGCAGGGGCATAACTCTCACTGAGCATGATGCCGCTGGCGTTGTGCCCCGTTGAGGTAGCAAAGGAATCCAGACACGCGTCACACAATAATCCATAGTTTGCAATATGAAGCGCAGGAGCTCCTAGGTCGCGAATACCCCTCGTTGCTGGCGACATGATCCATCCTTGCTGCATATGAGGTGGTGCAAGCAATTTGAATCCCAGGACTTGAGGAAACAATGAAGGGGCTTTTCTTCCATGCTGCGCTTGTTTCATCTTTAGCGCAGCATGCTCAGCACTTGGCGCCCCGGCGTAGCGCCGAAGGGCGGCCTCCGCTTCGGCCTTGGGAAGGGGCGGCAACTATCGACCTCATTTCTTTTGGCTCTCCAATGAGGTCACCTGAGATGGCTGGGTTTGCTGAGGCAGTTGACAGAAGGCAGCCTCGGCCTGATATGACGTGTGTTCAAACACTGGGGCGTTTGCTAACAAAACGTGTCGGACTTCTGGCACACGAGAATGCCCAAATGCTTCTTCACATTGCGGGCAAGCGCCTACAAATTGGTTGTCTGGCCGACCTGGTTCCTTTCACAAACTGGCACAGGAGCGGCGTCCTGCATTGTTTGTAATCCAGCGCTCGAAGCCTCACTCTCTGGCATCATGAATCATTTTAAACATGCCAAATGGGCATGTAAATGCTCAAACGGGCTTGGACTAAATCCTTTTAAGCCTCTGTGGAGGCAACTGAAATCTTCACGCGCATCTCGCTATCTGCGGGCACGGCCAAATTCTTGGTTGAAGCAACACACTACACTCCCCGCGTTCCTTTTCGTGCCTCTCTGTTGTGAAGCCTGCCAAATTGTGAAGCGTGCCTCGGATGCGTACGGGTCCCGGGCTCTGGAGCGGCCCTCACGGGCAAGCTCCTCACCGTAGAGTCGGAAAAGCTGGAGGGCCCATGTCCAGCAGCCGGAAATTGACCACAGAATGCACTCATGGGAACCTGGGGTGGCGGGGGGGGGGAAGCGGCCCAGGGTTTGGACATCACCTCTTCCATGGTGTTCAAGGGCTCAACCCCCCCCGCGAGTCAGTGCCTGTCAAGCATGCCGAGCTGCTCGAATGTTTAGAGGCCTAGAAGGGATTTCCGCAAAACGATCCCAGCCGTGAGGTGTTACATATTGCAAGTAGGGAACACGGAAAACCCTCTAAATCCCCATGGTGTGTGGTTGGTTTACTTGCAATATTTAGGGCATCCACCGTAGTTGATCATTGCTTCTGCATGTCAAGAGTCCAGCTGAAAACCCTCCTTTGTTTGCTAGCTGCCAACAAGGCCAAGACAAGCACTGCACCGGACATCCCTGCTTTGCGTGCTGTCTGACCTAGCAACGTGTCTGGCTAAAACCCTTTCTTTTGGGCAACATGTTGAGCCCTGGCAGTCTGCAGTGCAATGCTTGCCCCTTGCCCAAACATTTTTGGAATCAACAAACACAAAACATGTGCCCGAGGCCCCAGAGTCACTTTGAATTGCCGCGGTGAGCTGTTGCAGGCCACAAGAAGGCTCCGAGATCTGCCCCGCAGTCCATCCGAAATCCAACATGACTCACGAATGGGCCTTGGGAACCATGGAGTATGCTCCCAATCTCTCATACACACACAAACAAACTTGACAAAGACTTCAGGTCACTTTCCACAACATGCCACACAGCCTTGAGCAACTGAGCAACAGCCAATTTTCATTGCTGGAACTGGCATGAGAGTTGGTCAGCAAATCCCCCTTTCTGCAAGTTTTGCTTGTTGAGTGTGGATCATGTCGCACCAGTGAAAGTGGACGTCAACAAATGGCTCAACGGCAAACCACTCTCAGATGTGAGCGCGGGGTGTTGATCAGGCAAAGAAAGGGCCACCAAAATTTTGGTCACCCCCGGCGAGCCTTGGAGGGCCCAGGCCGGAATCTCAAGGCCGGTCAAATTCCCCTTGAAACCGGTCAAATTCCCCATCTAGTAAGTGATCAACTCCCTTCTAAAAACCGTAGAAACCGGTCAAATCCCCCGCTAAACCGATCAAATGACACGCGCCTAGAAACAGGTCAACTCACAAATCCCCTGTAAAGACCGGTCCAACTGCATCATATCCTGCTAGAAACCGGCTTTGAGACGGGGAATAAATCCCGATAAAAACCACTCAAAATCCCCTCAAAACCGGTCCAAATCCCTTCAACCGCCCCCCCCCCCCCCCAGAAACCAGTCACTGTCATTCTGTAGGTCTCTGCGGCTGAAGCCATGTGAAAACACGTGGACATACACCCACCCTCTACCTTGGAAACCAGCTCACGCATTTCGTCGGCGACTCACTCACTCTAATCAACACGACTTCAAGGCAAACTAAAGCACGGTATACCAGCCAAAAGCGGACTGACCGAGGCGGGCAACGCGAAGCGTTTACAATTAGAACTTGACTAGTGACAAAGTGGAAGCTAAAGCGAAAAGTTTGCCACTTGCAAAGCCACGGCTTGCGAAGCTACGGCTTCCCAACGTCCCAAAGCCTAAGGCCCAAAGCTCCTCCCGCAGCACGGCCGTGCGCTCGTCGAAGCTCCGCAGCACCTGCGCCTCCGCGTCGCGCCGCGCCTGCCGAAACCGGAGGACGGTGCCAGGTGCAGCGACCAAAACCCATTTGGCTGTGGCTCCAAAAACCGGAATTCCAAAATGGAACCCTGGTGGAAACATGGACCAAAACATGCGGTTTGCCTCTCCTGGTTGTGAGCCACACCCATTTGTTGGGGTTCTCATTGCACAGTTTGCTTTCTCACTTGTTGTTTCTTGTTGAACGGTGAAACAGAGCCGTCTTGCAACCTTGCCCGCAATGTTTTAGTGTGTTTTGCAACATGAAAAGCAAGCAAACATCCTGCAGGAAAACCGGTGTCGCGGAGTCGCCAAGCCAGGGGCACAAGGACACACTTTCAAAAAGGGCACCCTGCCTCGCTACAAAACAACAGGGTCATCACAAAATAAAGGAAAGCCCTTCCGGATGCCTCTTTCTTATTGAGGCTAAGCAACTCATAGTCAATGCCTTTGCGAGCAAGCTATGAAAAAGTACGAGTTCTTTCGCGCGGTTTTCCCTGATAGGATTTCCGACAAATGCCTTCATGATCAAGGTGATGGAACCCCATGGAATTTGGGCGCGGCTCCAGTGTGTCATGTGATAAGAATGTGACCACGACTTCTCCGGGTAGTTACCAAACACCGCGTTCTCCGTGATTGGCATTGGTGCTGCCTGTGTGGCAATGTTAACTACACGTGAGTGTGCTTGTCTGTGTGTGTGTGTGTGTGCTGCTGGTGTAGCAGGCAAGCAACGTGTCTTAGCTTCCAAGCCATTTTGGCTCAATCAAGTTTGCAGCATTCATGGTCATAATTAATCCATGGCATGCGCCTGCTCCCCAATTGTATCGGTTCGTGCTTACAACTTGCCAGCCTGTCCGCCTTCCTGCTTGCTTGCTGCATTGCTTGCTCTTCTGCTTGATTTCAGCTATACGGGGAAACTAGACGGAAGCATGGCATTTGATCTCTCATGCGCATTTCCCTTGCCCAAGCCTCACTTCTAGCTTCCCATCGTTTCAGCCAGCCTCTGGGTACGTCACCACTGGCCCCTTTCTGGACGTCAAGCGCAAGCCGAGACATCATCAAACCAGTTTGGATCCAAGTTGCTTGGGACTGGTGGACTTCCAACCATGTTTCAGACTTTTGACACAGACAACCCGCGGAGAAGGCCGCGCTACCCGCCTGCTGCTCAGCTTCTAGCGCCTGCTGCAAGCGCAGGTCGGCTGCCTCGGTGGACGGTGCGAGTGCGAAGGGTGTCCTGTGCTGTCCTATGAAAGTTCTTGGTTCTGAACTGAGTGATACTCAAACCGAGTGGTCTAGAACTATATAAAAATAAAAAATAAAGAACAGTACGCGGGTGGCAAAGGCACCCGTTTGTGGGGACTATCCAGACCTTCAAGTAACCCCGGGTTTCGACTGTGGCTCAGCTGTGCTTGGCAGTGTTCATGATTTGCATGAATTGTCGTACAGAGATTGGAGGATTTTTGTTTGGCCATCCGGTCGACTGGTGCACGTTTTCTGTGAGCTGTGAAGGGTGGATCTGCATGACCCTCGGTATATCATGCGTCCGATCCGTCTGAAGAGCTGTTACAAATAACACCAATGAGTGCAAAACATCCTTCCAACCAGGGCACGTCCCATCTTTCACAAGTTGCCCCCCCACCACCACACTCCCATCCCAAATGAAACCCATGATCCCGCGACCAGCCCCCCACTCTGAGCACTGTGCGCTAAGCTCTTTGGACCGGGACTCAGTCAAAGCCTGGCCGGTTCAGCGTAATTTGGCTGTGGGTCAAAACCAATGGTACCATTTGGGGTAGGTGCACCACCTATTTTAGAACCTATTTTAGTGGGGATTGGGATGTTCACTGGCAGTACAGGGGTTTGACCCACAGCAATTTGAGCCTTGGGCCTCACAAGTGTCGCAATGGGTCACATCCAAAAGTGCGCCGTTCGCCCCTCTGCATGCTGGATGCGTCCCTCAAAAAATCAAAACACGCACCGCAAAACTGATGTTCATCAAAAAGGAACCAAGCCCGGCGAGTCGTCCACAGCTCAGCTCCATCCAGCGATCCCGCACGCCTCGCGGCTGAGGCGCTCCTCATCGAAGTCGCGCTGAAACTTGATGAGCTGGTCCTGGATGAGTTTCACAGAACTTCCAGTTAATTTCATGTGGCTGTGGGTCAAAACTAAACCACCGTGGGACCACAGGTTTAACCCATGTTTCCATTTACCAGGGCTCCCATGTTCATGTTGGGTACAGACCCACTGCCATGCGTTTGGAGCACATCATATCATATCCATAATATGTTGAGCGAACGGAACTGAAGCATTCTAAGCCTTCACCAACATCTGTGATGGGAGTTGTCATAGTTTCGTGCAGGCGGTAGAATCCGTGCGTGTATTTGTGCGACGGGGAGGGCGCCTGGGAGCTTTGAACGGGGCAAGGTGCACTAAGGCAACACCCAGGCAGCATAGGCAGATTGATGCTTACTTATACTTTGGTCTAGCACTCATCCCCACTCGGAAACATGTCGCCATCAACCGAAGCTACTTGTGCCGTCAATCACCTGTAGGCCGCGCATGTCTGGTTTTGTTTCGTGAACAAGGAGCGCCTGAGAAAGCCTTCAAAGGCATAGAAATCCTCGAACTTTAGGGAGGGGGCTCCATTGCTCCCCCCAACCCCGACTTTGCTCTTGGTCCTTGAGATTGGCTAAGTCGGAGTGCAGCGTCTCCTGGAAAAAACTGGAATCCCCAACAGCAACCCCTGTAACCCTCCGAACTCCGATCCGGGCCCTATCCAGCCACCGCTCCAGCGCCTAAACCTACCCCTCCAAACTTCGTGGAGCCCCAGGAAGCTGGCGAAATCCGGAACCTCCCAAACCCAGCCGGCCCACCTCCAGAACCGTCCGGAACCCTATCTAGCACCCCGTAACACGGGAAGAAATTGCGACCCAAAGTCCGAGCTCTTACCCAAAGACCAAGGCAAACACTCCGACTGTGTTTGGCCCCAACTCACAAGTTGGATTGTGGGTTGCAGCTTCCGCCAATTCATATCCAGTCACTACGCTTCAAACTGTCACTTTCCTGTGGAATGCAAGCACGAAGACATGGGAGAATCTAGGACTGCAAGTGCCGCACTCTAACTAGATGTCATGGCCCTCGTACTGAATCATGCAGTCACATCAGTTCCTGGAGTCAGGGTCATCAGTCCGCAGGTCTTCCATCCACAGCTTGAGACATGTCTACCCCGCAGGTTGACAATGATGATCTCCCCCAAGCAAGAAATCCGCAAAGCAATCCATTGGGAGCAATCTGTATGCGAGCTCTGATGTCCAGGTCCTATCATGGTCACCTCCTGACTCCTATCTTCATTGATTGTGCCAGTCATGATCCTAGGCGCCCCGTTTGGACAAATAGATGGCAACAGATTAGAACCCAAGTGACAAGTGACAGGCCACCAGGAACGACAAGCTGTCCAACAACCCGAACCTGGCTCGACTGGAGCTTCAGGTCGACGTCATACCTGGCGCTAGGCTGCCCGTCCCACTGCTCACCAACGAATCTGAAGTACCGCCGGATGGAAGAAACCTCGTGGGCATGCCTCAACCCGACTCCTTTTTTTGCATGCCACCCAATGTTGATCTGGTCACCTCAACATTTCACTTGGAGATCGTTGCCTTGCGAAACTCGGGCCTTGGAACACGCGAGCGCATGACTCGCGGGCTCAAGGACCTGATGGGCTGAATCCATGCCGGCAGCGCATCCGCTGGCTCAGCTGGTCGAAGCGCGAGTTGCGCTCGTGCTCCAAGCCTGGTGCAACGTGCAAAGACTCCACCAGCAAACAAGGTCAACCCAAAACGTCACAAAGGACCAGGCAACACATGTTTTGAAAAAAGCCTATACAAAGATTAAGCCATGTTGCTCAATCCAAACTGGCTGGCTAGGTGGCTGAAAAGGTCGCTGGAGCCTCCGTCCCGATGATGAGCAGCCGGCCATATGGCACACATCGATTTCCAACGGTTCAGGAAGGCGCAAACACACAGAGAGAGAGAGAGAGAGACGGCGTTTTGCGAGCCCAAGCAAGCAAGACCTGCCTCAATTGGGATCCACAAAAGTGTTCCGAAATTAGCCCCCGCTTTAGAGGACGGTTTCTGCAAAGCCCTAGCTAAGCAATGGGAAGAAGCTCTGTGGAGTTCATGCCGCGTGGCCGTGGTGCGGTGCTTCAAGAGAAGCCTCGTAATAGCATGCCCCCTGTCAACATGATGTCGTGCATCGGATAGGGTGGATCTGTGAATTCGTTATACAGTTATTCACAACCACCAGGTCTGCGCACTCCCACAAGAAAAGGCTTGACTCGACCGGATCTCCTGCAACAAGCAAGCGCTTTTGCACCATCACCGAGGCGAGTGACAAGAGGACCAACGCATTTTCTCGAAGAGACCACCACCAACTCGCCAAACCCAAACAGAAACATCGATATTGCAACCGAGTCCGCGTCGCGGGAAAGGCCTTGTTGTAAACCCGAGAGCCGCTCTGAGAGCCTCAAAAGGCCGAGGTGTGACTCGAAAAGCAGGTGCCAAAGTGTCACCGTCAGGGGACAGGCCCAGAATGAACAAATCGGTTTAGTCTCGTGGGTTAGCTACACATACTACACATGAGATGGGTGGTGATGTGTAAAACTAGCGTGACTCAAGCCACACATGTTCCTGGGTCAAATGCAGGAGTCTACCTACCACTTCAAAGCTCTTGCAAGCTCTGCCCTAGGTCACCTGCGTGCAATTATCTTAGGAGGGCATATGTATTGCTTGTGAAAACTATCAAACTAGCAGATTTCCCAGCGGAATGTCAACTCTCTATTTCTGCACGGGGTGAAAGTGTGATTCGGGAGGGATGGATAGCATGAAAGCTGGAGCTGGCAGGGGAACACCGCAAGACTCAGCTACAAGTACTGGCCAGCACAGCCACCTACCTGCTGGGAATACTAGCAATTACTGGGCTTTTTGAAAATTGGAGACCGAAGAATGGTGTAAAGATTTATGGAGAACAAGCTACCTGTGAATCTCGCAGCTAACGCCTCTCAAGATTGAGAGCCCACAAGAACATAGCAGTGGATGCTGTTGCCAACTGCCCAGGTGGAAGGGCTTCCCCCTCTCTCACACACACCAAATAAAGACATGCGATTCGACAACACAATTTCAGCGAACCAGGCCACGCAGGAAAGGACCTGCTGATTCGAATGTGTCAGCCCTCGATTCCGAGTGTCAGGAAACGCCTTTAGCTGAAAGTACTGCTAGTGAGCATTTCAGGAAACAGCTTACCAAGAATGTCCACGCATTGCAGTAGGATTTTGTATGAGGCTTGAATTGATGCGTGGCCACTTGTTGTTGTGCATACGCTGTCTGCGGACCTCTCGCGCAAAACAGAGTCGGGACATCATTGTGATCTCTTAGCTCCCCATTCATGCCTTTGCCAGAGCATGCCTAACCACACACGTCCCTAGTGCTGTTATGTTCTGTGTCAAGCAATGCAGCACGCGCCTGCTAATCCGATCGTAGTAGTTCCCGCCAACGCCGGCCATGCCTGCGTCCATCCAACTGGCCTCCCTTCAAGGGAGGGGGGGGCTTACATGTTTGTTCTTTGGTCGTTCCACCCATCTTGGCTAATGGACATTTAGCGTCAAATAATCATCATCTTCCCAACAGGGGCAAACATGGTGGTTGATGGAAAACCCAGCCGAGAAAAACACAAACGCTGCAAACAACTAGCATTGCCACTACATAAATAAATAAACCTATTGCTGGAAGCACGGTGACTTGGGCTTTGAGCTTTCCCCATTGGCGCGGCATGCTACTGTGACTTGCTAACTTCAAAACGATGAGCCCTCTGCTTGCTTTCTGGTGTCTCGGAACTGTTGGCTACATATGTGGCTGGGCTTCCTTCCGACCTTTTGGCTGCCATCCAAAACCCTCAGAGTCGTTGATGTATCTTCCAATAGTGGCACACCCTCTTCCCACTTTCTGCGGTCTACAAATTAGAATCGATTTTTTTCATGATGCCGACGACTAGATACTGTTCGTTGCTCATCTCGACATGGTGACCCCTCTGCATGCTTTCCGCAGTCTCGAATCTTGTGGTTTGAAAATTCCTCCTTGGCAGAGCAAAATCCTCAAAATGTATAACCCTCTGCGTACTCTGTGTGGGCGTTCAATCCAGCTCGGCGCATTTCCCGTTGAGGTGGCAAGATATTGCTTGCGCAGCTCCGGCTCTAAATCGCAACTTCTTGATATCAGAATAGGATTGGGCAATCTTAACGGGTCGAGATTTAATTTGGGTTTTTTTTTGCTTTATTTTGGTGTTTTTTTGTTTTCCGTCCTGGCCTGTAATTTACAGCATTTTCTCGCGAAATGTACGTATTTTGCTAGTCCGTCAACATTATCAGCATCGTTTTCAACATCCCCGCATGTCCAGCCAACATCCCCAGCATCACCAGCAAATCGAGGGCCTTGGATTAGCGAGGGGGTTGGGGGGATGATTGAAGAAGTGATGATTCAATTAGGGGTGCATTTTAATCTCTGCCCAAAATCCGAAAAGTAGCGGGGGGGTTTAGGGGGGCGGGGCGGCAGCCCTCATGGTGATCAAAAAGTGATGATTCGATTAGGGGCAAAAAAATCTAAAAAGCAGTAGTGGGGGGCAGCAGCCCCCCCCATGATGATTGAAAAAGTGATGATTCAATTAAAGGAGTGGGGGGGTTGGGGGGGGCTGCTGCCGCCCCCCCCATGATGATCGAAAAAGTGATGATTTAATTAGGGGCAAAAAGTCTAAAAAATAGCGGGGGGGCTGGGGGGGGGCGGCAGCCCCCCCCATGATGATTGAAAAAGTGGATCGAAAAATTAGGGGCAAAGAATCTAAAAAGTAGCTGTCGCATGATGATCGAAAAAGTGATGATTCAATTAGGCGTGTATTTTAATCGAAAGGGGGTGGCGGGGGGCACCAGAGAGGAACTTGCGATAAAAGCCACAAAAGCCACAAAAGCCAAAAAGCCAAAAAGCCGAAAAGCCGAAAAGCCACCCAGCCTGGAAAAAAAAAAAACGAGAAAAACATCCAAAAAAACAAATGGCCCTCTAATCTTAACCCCATCCCCGGATGAATACACCCCTTGATGAATACGTGGTGGCCCACTTTTGCAGGAGACACACCCCGGGTTTATTAATCAGAAATCAACATCACAAGTCATGACACAATCTTTGACAAGAACAAAGACATAGAAGTGAGCCCTTCTACAGGCGTCTTGCGCTTCGAACAACTTCCGACACCAGGTTCGTTGGCTCCAGCAATGTGCCGATTTGTCATTACAGGATAACGATGCATGATCTGGCAAGAACAGTCAGCCGTTGGGTGCTACTTAAGCAAACGTGATGGAGCCAATGACAGCGTTGCAACACTGGAATGTCGTTGCACAGGGTGCGCTGTGCCGCTGATCACACGGTCACGCCATAGAAAAGGGCAAAGGGGGCCCCAGGTAAAGCGCACCCTCATTCAAGAAAACACACAATCAAGACCTGATCACCTGATGCAACAATACGACCAACTATCTTTTAAACCATGTGTATGGTATGTGATGTGTATGATGACATTTCACGACACAAGCTGCATCCTGGAAAAACCAGGGACAGCTCTGGCAAGCAGTGAGGGTGCCAATCGTCGCCGTTGCAATGCAAAGCACTCACAGTCAAGGTGGTTTAACTCTCCGACTGGTCATGCGCCAGGTCGCTCCAAGCCAGTTGAGCATTGTTGGTCCAACGCTCCATCTGGTGTATAGTAGTGCCATGTTTAAACAAACCAAAAAACGTGTCCCTACTTAAATTTTAACACACGCCCCCATAGCCATTTAAGAGTTGTTTGCTCCTTGCTTCGGCCCCTGAAGAGGTTTAACTTGGTCCACCGAAATTCCAAAGCCATCGAAGCTTCACATGAACCACCCTTCGGCATATGTATGTTCAAATTCGAGCTTGCTTAACATGAAGCATCCGGCTTGCGCCGCCTACTGATGGACGATATCCTGCACCACCGAATAGACCCTGGAACTCCCAATGCCTCCCATGGTTTCAAAGTGGTGCAGGAGTTCGTTCATCCACAGTCTCGGCTGCCCAAGTTCTTCGGCATTTGGTGAATTTGTGGGGGTGAGAGCTTCTTCATTCCAAACGCCTGGCTCTCCGTAGACCACTTGCTGCACACTGAGGTTCTGGCTGGTGATGTGCGTCACGGCAGGAAACGATGCTCTCACTGGCTCTTGGGTCACGCCTTTCCAGTGCTGTCCTGATCTTGCTCAGCCCAAAACCTTCAGCTGGTGCTGTTGGCAAGCTCAGTCCAGTGCTCTTTGGTGTGACTACTCCGTTTCGGTGTGCGGGTTGCTCATGTCAGCTGCATGTCTCCAACCAATGGCTGAATGAACAGCCATGCCCAGCGAGCCAACCAACCCGAAATCTTGATGACATGCTTGGATCCTACTGCACATTCAGAACTGCCAGTCATGCCACAAGCATTCCTGAGCAAAGGCCCGACATGAGTGGACCCCTCTTCAACACAAAGATAACACGTGCATAATATGACCTGACTTGCCACGTTATCTGCTCGGGGCTTGGAGCCTGACTCAACCTCCCAATCAAATGGCCATAGAGAAGCGGATGCGACCAGCGGTATTGGGAAGTGCCTCGCTAGGCTAGGAGGTCATTTCCTTTTTCTGAGAGAACCGAACCACTTTGTCCTGCGGTGGGAGCCGCCCGAGGCGCGTTTCTTTTTTTCAAAGGACGCTCGGTTGCAGCGCCCCAATTCACAAAGCCTTCGACAAATCTGTCGTGAGACGCCCTCTGCATGTTATTCTACGAAGTTGACACCTACAAAAGATCGAACAGCCGAAACGTGCGTGGAAAGAAGAGCAAGTAGTATCCAACTTTCTCCCCAATCTTAACGCTGACTCATGTCTCATTTCTAAGCTGGCGAGACACGTTACGCTTTGGGCATGCCGGTCTCAGGTGACTCAGGTGCTGGAGAGAACACTGACCAGCCAATCCAAACCTGACCGGCGCATGATCAGACACATTTCGCTGGCAGGTCATGTCAGGACATGAGCAGCTCGTATCCGCAGAATCTACCCAAACCCCAAAGGCCGAATAGATCACGTCACTCTACGGGCTCTACAAAACCTGCGAGCTTCGGAACCTGAAGCGAACTTGCATTCAAACATGGATTGGGACTTGAGAGCTCCATCCTCGAATAAGCCCAGAATTGTCAGAATAAGGCGAAGACAAGACCTCCATTGATTGATGCAAGCAACACCTCCATGGATTCCCCTGAACTACACCACAGAACTTGCCTTAAATCACCTATGAACAGGATGGTTCGGTGTTTTTTCAGGACACAAACGGTCCTCTTTGACTCCCCGAGCTCACCCATGTTGCAGCCCTTGCCGAAAGCGCTTGACTTGAAAAGCCCCTTTTCGTTTGAAGATCTCGTGGAAAGGCATCTGTGCACGCTCTGGAACTAGTGCTGCAGAATATGTCCCGGTTGAAGTGCAGCTTGTGTCGGAGACTTCAACCAGTCTGCCAAACATTGGCACTCATGTTGCCGACAAAGAGCTGACAACACTGTCGCGCGCTGCAGGTGACCCCTCTCTCGAACTCCCGCCTTCATTGATGCCAGAGCCCTTGAGGGCCGACCTCGGTCAGATCCCAAACCGAACCAGCCGACTCCCACAGAAAAAAGTTCACCTCCGGGAACGTCGCAGCTGGGCCCAAGCGGTTCATGCTCTGGCTCTCCGTGAGCTGCAAGAATCACAGTCCAGACAGAAAATCCAAGAAAAAAAAAGCACCTCCAAAACCTGCAAAACCAAACCCTGGGACGTGCCAGGCGCCCATTTCTTCGCACGTGGTGCTCAAGATTTGTGAGCCGAGCTCGGCCACAGCAACCCAAGCCAGATTTGTTTCCCAAATGGCGGTATCGTGCTATTCCTGCCCAGCAAATCACATGGAGGCTAGGCTGCATTGCATTGTGATCAGTCTTGGGAAGGACAAAGTTCCACAATCGAACTGTGAACGTCCCACCAGTTGTGGTCAAATCCGTTTCAATATGAATGAAGGCTTTGGAGACTTGCTTCCTTGTTCTACCCTTAGAGGTGTAGTCAATGGATGCAATGGCGCGCGCATACCGCGAGTATGAAATCAAGTCGCTCAGCTTAAACTCACTACTCATTAACGAAAGCTGAATTTGGATTAGGCCAGACTAATTTGAAAGCTTTGATGAGTACATATCCGACCCAGTTGAGCTGCTGTGATATTTTAGCAAAATGCAACCTCTCTCAAGGTCCCTTGAGAGGAAAACTGATCTTCCAGGCTGCTCCCTTCAGCTTCTCCTCATTTACTGGGCTCATTGACATCCTCAAAATTACCCTCATGGTGGTTTGAAGGGAAACCACGACCCAAAAGCAATCTTGAGAGACACCTCAAAATACGGGGACCCACATTTTCTCACATTTGCCTCAGCCCGTGCTCCGGAAAGCATGTCTTGAAATCGGCCCCGGACGTCTGGAAGATTGCCCACTGGCGACTCCGGATAGAGGTCAGACCCAAAGATTCTGACACCTGGCCGATGCACTCATGTTTTCTAATGAAAGTCAACATACAAACCACTGAATGTCTTTTTTAGGGGATGCCCAAAATGGCTTCAGTTTTCCCTTTAAGCCTTTGGTTTCCCCTAAAACCACTCAAAAGTGGGTAATTACCGAGCAAAAAGACACGCCCCTGCTTTGTAGAGCGAGAAGACACCTCGACAGGTGTCTACCGCCTTTACCCCCCCCCCCCCCCGCCCGGCATGGGACATGTTTGGTCACTGGAAAATGGCCAAAAGCTCATACCTAAGCCTCTCCCACACACAAGAGTGTTTTGAGTGAGTGGCGTCGGGAAATGGGGCTGGTAGTTTATCAATCAGGGGTCAACAGTCCAGTTGTGAGCACGTCGGGCGACAGGAAGTTGAGCAGCCTCTCGCAAATGAGCCCTAAGCCCTGACCGCTGCCAACACGTCAAGAGAATACAAACAAAAAATTGTCAAGCAATTCACACCAAGCGCAAAAAAACACCTCAAAGTGAAGATAAAGTGACATGTCTCAAACGCCAATGGCAAACGGGTATGCCTAATCTTCAGAGAACCAAAACCAAGGAAAAACAGACTCTTTAAAGGGATGGCTCCTCTGAAACTTTGAAAACCTGGTGTTCAAAATGTAAAGCAATTGGAACGGTTGGCGCTCATTAGCTTATTTCTGCATGCTCACAGGTTCGGTGTTGTCTTTTAACGATTTTTCTGCTACATCATCGTTCGTGGACTGACTTCTTTGAATCGGATTGAAATGGAAACCAAAAGAAGAAAAATACATGCTAGTTGAAAACACGCTCTGGCAAAGAACACTCAGTGGTATGAAGGGATGGTCATTGCGAACCAGAGCCAACCAAGCGATCAAAGTTCGTGAAACATCAGCGCTGCCAAGTGGTGAAACACACCTGGAAAAAATGTAAAGTATGTGGACTCCAAAACGTCAAATAAGGCTTAAGGTCCAACCCAGATTCTCAACATTGCGGCTCGGACACATAGAGGTCATTCTGCCGACCCTAAAACTTGCTGGTGCTCAGTAGGGAATGAGGGAACGAACCCCGGCTTTCTGGGGTCATTCCATTTCTCATTCCCTGCCTATCCTTAGAGTAAGGGTACCCTTTTTTCTGTAGTCTATTTTAGGGGAACCCTCCCCCCAAAAAGAAACGGGAGAGAAGGGCACTATATACTGGGGGACCTAGTATCCCACCAGCAGCAAAAAAAACCAAGACCCTTAGCTCCCCCCCGTCACGGGTGTCCCTCCGAGCGCCCATGGCGACCTCTGCAGCGCTCATTGCGCCGGGCAGGTCCTCAGGCGGAAAAAAAACAAACAAAAAAAAAAAACACCCCGGACCCATCCACGTCACGTGGAAATCCGAAATCCACTTGGCACGAAATGAAAACCATAGTTGAAACCATAAGGGGCGTGTTAGTTTTTTAGAGGGAACCATCAGAACGCTGCAAAATGGATCTTGCAACCATCCACAGTAGGAGTGGATGACGCAGAAAGCGGCTGGCTTGTCTTTGAGCTCGCCGAAAGGAGTTGCGTGCAGTTGTGACAGATCGTGCCAGATTTCAACGTGTGACCTGTCCATCCACAACAGAAACAGCCGGATGCAAGGACCTGCAGACAGGGAAACTGTCGTGCTTGTCGCAGGTATTGTTTGTGTCGATTGGAAATCAGACATGCGCAATGACAACGGGCAAATATCTAATGATACACAGATGCTCCAGTGTGTGTCGTATGTGGATGTAGATGGACTCCGAACGTTGACAAGCCTGTCGTGTCAAACGGTGCGCATTGCTGAAGGCCATGTTGTCGCGATGGTCGAGAACAAATTGGATAACGCTCCGCAAAGGAGCAGTTATTTCTCCCTCCAGCACTATCAGTCCAGCATCTCAGCGCTTGCGTGTCGAACGTGATTGCCAACCTAGAGATGGGGCTTCAGCTTTCTGTGAGCAAGGTCTTATTGTCACCAAAAGGCTCAGCCCCTTTACCAGCCACACCACACGGCATGATATGCAACGAGTGGTGAGATGTTGGCACCCGAAAATCCCGGGGTGGGCCTCTGTTTGCACGTGCCTGACTCTGCGTTGCCCACCTTTAGGCGTGAAGCACTGGGCACGTGGTATCGTTCTCATGGTCGCACACGCGAAGAAACAAGCGGAAGTCGGAACGAAACGCGAGGAGACGTCTCCCCTGGAGCCCAGAGACGGGAGCCCCGAGCCCCATTGCGCCCCGCCTGCTTGTTTGCCAGCACCAGCAAGGTCACGCCTTTCAGCTCCTCCTCCTGCGACTCTTCACGTGGCAAAACCGAATGGGTATGGGTCAAAATTGAACCACCAAAAAATAACACAGGTTTTAGTCATTGTGTCCATTTACCAGGGTGCCAAGTTGGGTACCTCTTTTTGACCCTTAGCCGTATGGCCCTCCGGAGAAAGACTGTACCCGTCAGTGCACTGGGCTCTTTTGCGGGGACTAAGACCTGGGAACTCTTAGCATGTGAGTCTTGTTTTTGAGTCTGGAGGGGGAAAGCATGGAGAATCCGAGCGGAAGGCATAGGTCACGCGAACCACGGATCCAATCAATTCACAACTGTTGCATCCTACCATGCTGCTGCGAGTCATCTCGACCCAAGTCAGCAAAGGGCGGCAGTGGTCTGCCGTCTACGTTCCCATCTTTTTAAGCAAGCATCTTAGCTGGCACAATTCATATGCGAGAATCCCTTGACTTAGCAAGACACATTCCTACCAACCCTAACATGAAGACGCAAAGCAGCGTAGCTTTCGAGAAACCCCCCAACCATAAAGAAGAAAAGGGCAAGATCTCAATATGATCTAATCATTTAGAGCCAAGTTCGACTTGGCTGAGAGACATTGATTGCTTGTTGCGAGGAGTGAATTGAGTGAGAGGCAACCCTTGCCTAAAATCTGCTGAACTCCCAGTTGATCATGTCCTTGCAACAACCTTGCGAGTCTCCCTGCGAGGATTTCGGGTCAACTAGGGGATTCCGGATCTCTCGCAGAAAACAATCCTTCCCTGCCAGGATCGGGGCAACCACCTCTTCAAACCTGACGTTGGAGCGTCTTTTTTTGGCTGAAACCCGCCTCCCTTCGCTTTAGGATACCATAGATACGCTGAGGCAAGCCGAAAACCCCCCCCCCCCCGCCTCCAGCATCAGCCTCAGCTCCTCCTTGGAGTCTCCGATGCGGTCGGGGTCCGCAGAGTCCACCACCTCAAGCGACGAGGGAGGAAGTCTGCAAGGGACTCTTCGCCCAGCCTCAGCCATCTGGCTGTGGGTCAAAACCAATGGGATCCCATTCTTGGGTAGGTGCACCACCCATTGTAGTCAATTTTAAGTGGGGGTTGGGATGTTCACCGGGGGTACGGGAGTTTTACCCATGGCCATATCAATGCAATGACAAGGATTGCCCCGGGACACTTCGACTTAAAAGTCGCCATGGCATTTTGTTCAGAGTCCGCCTTGGAGAATCCTGTGCTGTTTTGCGCGGATCCCAGACAGGGGGGGCAAGTAAACAGTCAAGAGAACACGTGCCCCTGGCATGTACTTGATACCAACTGATCAATCGGATAGTCTTAGTGTTGAGGTTCCGAGGTACGACAGCTGCCTTATGAAAGAGTAAGAACAAGCAAAGCCCCAGTTGTATCAAGCTAATCTGCGTGGACAACCCTGAGTGCAAAAGCAAAACACGAAAGCCAAGGAACAAATTCAGCGGTTGCTGTCATTTATCTAATTTCAAGATCCATCATTTGGGGAACCAGTTGCATAACAACGGTACCCTGTAAGCACCAATTCTTCAAGTCCGTCCAGTTGCCTAGCACATGAAGCTGCCAATGGCGAATGTTTCTAGGGCGTATCGACCCGCTACCATTGCTGCCTGCAATTCCAGTCACTATGCAATCTGCTCCTGATAACATTCCCTTGGGCCTAGCAATATTCAAAGCTGCCTTCTGTGAGCTGAGACAAAAGTAAGTCATTTGGCTCTGGGTGAAACATAGTTGGTAACCCCAAAATGGCTTGCCCTGGTAAATGGAACCAAGTCCTAAACCCGTGGTCCCCTGGTGGTTTGATTTTGACCCATACCCATTTAGCAATGCTGAACATTTACCAGCTTCTGGAATAGTAGATCCATTCATGAGCTCTGTGTTCGGCATTGCTCACGTCACAACACAGAAAGTGTTGCCAGTCCAGAAGCGACCACCAAGAGCACGAGGGCCACGCATAGATGATGGCGTTTGTGTTGGGGTAGTAGCACCTCATGTCAAGGATGCGACCAAATTGGCAAGGAGTGGCCTGCCCACTGGATGGTCGTGGATGTATCGCCGGCCAGGCGTGGCTGGAACGAACTGCAATCGTTGTTGTGCGTGTTGCATCGGCACAATGTGAGATTTACTTTCTCAGTTCGGCATTGCTCGCTGCAGCGAAGTGCCAGACGTACATGGCTCCAAAGGCGAGCGAAGAAAACGGGCCCCTGGTTTCTGAACTGGGCTTGCTAAAACCACCCGGTTCACCACATACTCTCCATCTCTCACCTCTCACCGAAATCTTCCCGGCCTCCAGTAGGGCCGGATGCTGGTCTGGCCACCAAGGTCCCAGACCTCGGCATAAGCGCAGCTGTGAATCTACTTTCACAATGACGAGGTGTGAATCAACTCTGTGCTATTCACCTACGTTTCTGACACTTTCTCACCAGAATACAGCTCAAGCTTTGCTGCACGTCTAAGGCGAAGGATCTGGGAGAGGCAAAGGTGCCATCCAAAAGTTGTAGTCATGATTCCCGTCCGATAGGCTCATTCAACTCCAATGACATGACTATCCCTCTACATGCGATGTCTCCGTGGCTCATGGCCACGAGGATCTTTGAAGCGAAAGCGACATGGTAGTCAATGCACTTTGCGCCCTGCATCAAGTTGCCCATCGATTGACAGCAACACGTGCATCCAGCATTCGTACCATGGTCAGAAGGACGGCCAAAACCAATCACGGTCTATGACCATCAGCAGTTCAACGCACAAAAACTGCTGGGAACAGTGGAGTCTAGAATGACTTTCCTCTGGTTCACAAAACCCCTGCAAGCAATGTCGCGCGTCTCTGTGTCAAGCGTCTGTGCTTATCAAAGCCCTAGCATGTGCGCACTTTGAGCGCTGCGCAAGGATGTGTGCACCACGTGGCTGGCACGCACACTCCCACATCAAACAAGCGAATATTGCATTTCGGCTCACAGTCTTCTACAAGGCCCCCAAAACAAAATGAGGGCCAACCATCCTGAAAGCACAAAGGCAGCATATTGCCAGAAACTTAAACATTGAACAACAGGAAGATTCTGTGGCGTTGTGTGTCTTGCAACAAATGGAGGTACTTCAAGTACCTCTCCCGGCCAAACGACCAGCCGTCGGCATGCTCCCCACTCCCCGCATAAGTTGCTGGCTTGAAACTTGATGTTCTTGTACTGGACCTCAGTGGCACTCTTAGTCAACCAAAAAATGGTCATGAAGATTCACTCCATAGTATAAGTGCAGAGAATGTACTTGACGAAGTAACAATGCGTAGGCACGTTCAGAGATGGCACTTGTGAGGGAATTGGATCGGCACCCATCCTGGGAAGCAAATCAGAACCCCTCTTGCAAAAATGTCGTAGACATCTCTTGTGAGCGGCAGCGAGCAATCAAAACTCAAAGCCAGGAAACCAATGAAGCAGGCAATGTACGAGTCTGAAACTGTAAAACTAGGCCACAGTCCACAAAAACTGCCCAAGCATGAACGAAGCAAGGCTAGGATGGATCACGAGGCATTGTATGATACGACTATGAACAAGCCTGCCCCCAAGCCCAACAAGAAGTATGCTCGGCAACAAGCCTACTCATTTTGCAGAGAAGCCATATCCTCTGATGGATGTTTCTATCTATATTTAGCGCATCTTTGCTGCGGCTGGTGCGGCAAGCTAGAGATCGGCTCAGCTATTGTGGGAGGCATACCCCTGGCACCAGGGATGGCGAGCGGCACATTCGACGGTGCCCTTAATGATCCTATTGTAGTTCCAATGGACAAGTCTTTCGGCAGAGGCACGGATAGTCCGCACATCCCTCAACCTCCAGGCGCATCTCTTCAAAGGGACCATGCCAAAGGCCACGGACGCATTTAGAAGCAAAAACAAAAAGCGGAAAGACCGCCAGCCCCATCTTCTGGACGAATGAGGACAGGTTGCATCAGTTGTTTGGATGGCCTTTTGCTCGGGCCCTTTGCCGAGGGGCCGTCTCCACATTGAAGCCGATGGTGGGGATAGTTTGCACCACCTGAAGACACTACGAACTCGATGTGATGGGTCCGAGCCTTCGTTCAGCCGGTTAAGCGAATAGCAACCATGAGGGTCATTTTTTCAAAAACAAATGAGCAGTCCAGTATGATCACCCAGTGGGAGGTAACTTGTTTGTTGACTGACCAGTAAAGAAAACACCCTGAGGGCCAAGTGACATGAGAAGCTTCGAGATAGTTGATGGAAGCTTTGCTGCCTCACCATAGCCTAAGGCTTGGAAATTGTTCAGCGCTTGCCCTTGACTCTCCTGATTTGGAACGTGGGTTGGTTTGCGAACCACCAAAACTGGCATGAATCAGGGGAGTTCGCAGCTGTCAAAGCAAATCACTGGGCTGAGCATGAGCATCTCGGCGCTTGCAAGTGGCTACCTCACAAAATGGCTTCGGTTTTCCTTGTGACTTCCCTTTACTGTCAAACCAACAAAAAAGGGGCGCCCTCAAAAAGAGACACGCCCAAACAAAGGCCCAGGTGTGCGTCAACGGTGCGGCGTCAGCTCGGGTCTAATGAGCGGCCTCGTCGACCTGCAGTCGATAGAGGATGGTGGTCTTGCCGGCATTATCCTGCGCGTCTTGTCTTCGCTCACTGGATATGAAGCGCCAAGATCTTCCAGCCGGCTTTGGCACCAAAAGCACTCTGATCAAGCCCTCATTACTGGGCTGCCCATCCCCTAGAAGCTTAACCTAGATGGAAGCTACCACTCAACCAACTAACAAGCTATCAAGCTAAGGGAACCGGGATGGCTGGGCTTGCCGGCGCATTCGTGTTGCCCTAGGCAGATCGCAACAAACCCATCGTTCAACCACGCCGACCAGTCCAGGCCAAGGATCAGGATCCGAACCTGGCAAAGCTGGCGAAAAGCTGACGGAAAGCTGACTGGCTGATCAAGCCTCCCCCCAAAAACAAAAACAAAACAAAACAAAAACAAAAACAAAACAAAAACAGAACAAAAAACAAAAACGACCAAAAAAAAAAAGCAAGGCAAAGTTGCAGAACTCGCATGGTTTCGAATCCATCCGTGGGCAATTTGAGATCGCGAAGGAATTGATGGATATGCGGAGCTCAAAATTAGAACGTCCTACATGTCCAACCGCGAATAAGTGCCTTCCTGATTGATTCCAGTAACTCTTGACCCTTTCACAGACGTTTGCTTCTCCTTAACCATTGCGCAGTATTATTGACAGAGCACTTCTCTGGTGGGGACGCGTAATCTCGCGCGTAAGCAACCTGGGGATTCATAGGGGGGGTTATAGAGTCTCTCGTATTCCCAGCTTACCCATGTTTTAGCATACGCATCAGTCAGCGAGCATGCTAAGTTTTCGCGTTGGCGTGTTTTCCCCTCAAGAATTGCTTACGCGGGCTGCTTTTTCCATGTAGGCGCCAGAACTGTTCAAAATGACATGAGGAAGAAGATGACAAATACCCTGAGGAGTTTCAGCAGCTTGGCGCTGTTGTTCTTACTGCAGGTCAAGAAACGGATTGTGCGGCGGCGGCATCCATGGCGCAGGCTAGCGGGCAGCCGAGCTAGGCGAGCTTACGCGAATCTTACGCGCCTGCTTCCGCGAGCTTCCGCGAACGAACCCCTTCAGTTTTCGCAAATCAGCTAGCTTTTTTTTGCCTCGGGAAAGGTTTCAACAGCACCTGGCATGAGGTCGAAGAGCCTCAAGCAAAGGTCTGCTGGTTTTGTTTCTAGTGGTGCGCACATGCGGTCTTAGACGCGCCTTCCTGCAGCCAAAGTCTCCGAACAAGTTGGCAAGCTGGACTAGGTTGAAACAGCTCGAGCCACCAATTTACACACACACACATGTGTGTGAAACAACTCTTCCGTGCATGCTTAAAAAGCTTACCAAGCAATCACGAAGAAGAGCTTACGCGGGTGCTTACGCGCATTTTTCCCAAAAAGCGCTTACGCCGGCTGACGCCGTGCAGTGTTTTGCTTTCGCGGGGCCTTGTTATGACACAACTTTTGCTTGGGATGTGAAAGTGGAGTTTCAGAGCTGCTCTGTCAAGTTCTCTGATTGCTCTGCTCCCCCAACACAATTCGATTTAAGGACGATGCAGTAGTTCATCATCCAGCTTCGAAACACGTGATTGAGCTGACACTCTCTGCACAAAACAGGCCCTGGTATTTTCAACAGTATATCATGGCGGATCTTCTTCAAATGAGCTGCTGGTGAAAAAGACAGGCAAATGCCCTAAGAATGCAAGCCAAGTCAAACACGTTCAGAAGTGTTAGTGTCACGTTAAAATCGCGGTTCGACTTGGAATGTCATGCAGAAGCACACTCCTAACCAAATGCGCAAATGATGCACCTCAACAATTCAACGAAAAGCTGAATGTATCAGACAATTGTCTAGCATGGTCATGAAATCACCGCTCTGCCAATCCTGCCTCTTTGCTACCGAAGAGCGACCCGAAAATCGATGAGAACAGGATGCCCATGGTCCTGTGGAGCGAGCAAGCGGTCTGAAAGCAGGGAGACTGGTCCAAACTCATGTTCCACGGCCAACTTCCGCGGGCTCTACGAACAAACCGTGTCACGCACATGCCATCAGCAAGCGTATTGTATGTCCAAATGGGCTTCATACAACAACTCCCCGTTCGAGCAGTGGAGCTCAGCAACCTATTCCATCCTACATTCTCCAAACAGCCCTCCGCCTTGGGTTTCAAAACGCTGTCACGCTCATGGAGCATGTTTGACAATGCCGCTCCTGACAGCAGCCAATCGCCAGAAGTGCCAGCTGCCCGTGTGCGCACGTGAATGTCCCGTGCCTGGTTTAGCTGTACCTGTCGGCAGCTGTTTGCTTGCGACTTGGTGTAGTTCAAAGCAAGTGTGGGTGCTGACTCGCATCACTGCGCTGCTCGCCTTGAAGTCAGGCAGACTGATAATCTTTCAGGTGAGAGATTCTGTCTTGGTAATGTCTAGCGCTGGTTTTTGCAACACATGACATGCAGAACTCAGTTCTTGCTGCCAGCATGCAAACGCTGCGGCTTGCTGCCCGCACTTCTGTGCGATACATGGCCCCGACGGGTGGCAAAAGCTCCCAATCCAGATCTACCCAAGGAACGCGTCAACATGCCCTCTCCTCCCCGTCATGGAGGGTCACAGGAGGCACACGACAGTCGAGCGAAACCACCTTCCACCTCATTCTGCTCTCACACAAAACAGGAGGATGCCAAATACTTGCCCATGACCTTTGAGGCCCAAAAGTAAGGGCCCGAGTTGCACCAGTTCCGCAAATCCTGAGCTCACTTTCGCGCATGCAACCTACACCACAGATGCCGCTGCTTAGCAGCCAGATCTCTCAGGTGCCCGTTGGCTCGAATCCGAGCTTCAGACCTCCGGCCATCGGGCTGGACGACAAATTGTTGACTTGTGATTCTTGCAGAATTTTGGACTTGGGAGTCCCAAATGCTTCAGATGGAGCTGGTAGTCGCTTTTCTGAGAACTGAAGCAGTACACCTTAGCTGACCGAAGAAGACCTTCAGAAACCACCTTTGTTCCAGCCAGGACTCGTAAGCGCAGCTTAGGCCACTAGACTCTGTTGTTCTTGTATATACAGGAAGCTGAGTTTGGTGGACAGGATGCCAGCCCACCTATTGGAATCTGGCTTGAGCCTACACAAAGACAATGTTAGTTTACAGGAAGATTATGCAAGCCTAGAGGGCTACTTCTAGCATGCAGCATACGAAAGCTACAGCTATCTTGGTTCATAGGGATTAAATATTAGGCTAGGGTCTGGGTGTTGGGAGAGGGTTCTTTGGGGCTAGGGTGGGTTCAGCATGGTTGATTCGGGATCTGTTTGAGTGCAGGGGGGGGGTGGGGGAGGAGTAGCACAGGCTTCACTTGGTTATTTATCCAAATTCGATCTTAGGAGGGGTGTTCAGCTGAGTTCAGGGTGAAATGCAAGGTTGGTTTTTGGCTTTTTTGGGCCAGGGGCTGGTCTGGGCTTTGTGTGTGAAAAAATGTTGCTTCGGAGGGGGTTCACGATTGCTTCACGGCGTTGAGGCTTGGTTCAGGCGCCCAAGTCGTTTGGAAGCTGCTCGACTTCTTTCACCTCATGGGTTCCATTCGCAGGCTTGTTACATGCTCCGTCTGGGCGCTTGAATTTGGCCGCCCGCTTTGGCCGCTTTGGCCGCCGTGCGCCGCGCTCGCCGCGCGGCCTGCGCTCAGTCACTCAGTCCACCTGCGGCAGCTTCGGCAGCGAGTGGGTCCGCAGCCAGGCCTGAGCCTCACTCAGCTGAGGGGCTCAGGGGCTGGATGGTTCGGGTGGAAAGTCCATTCAAATCAAGTGCGCCCTGCGGAATTTTGGCGGAGCCGGCGAGGCCAAACCCTAGCAACCTTCTGACCGACTCTGCCACGCTACTTCTGTTTTGGTAGTGTGTTGCGCTCCACGTTGCTTTGCGTACTTGAAGAAGTTGCAAACAAGTGGTCAATACGTCGCCGGACCAACAAACAGTAACATCAAAGATTCACGCCACCCGTGAAGTCTTGGGTCGCCACCGTAGCTCCACACGCCACGAGCACCGTCAGCAGCACGGCAGCTCCGGCACAGAACTTGGCGGAGAGTCGAGATGCCATTTGCAGGGGCACGTTCATTTCTCAACAAAAGACATTTCATTTGAGCTGATTGAATAAGAGCCGCTGCAAGCAACCCTCTTTGCCTCGCTTTGGGGGGCCGGGGTCAGCATGCCCGAGTGGTGTCAGCGGCACAGAAATCTGAGGAAGTCTCAGACGCTACCCACCACGGACTGCTTGGTGCATGTCTGCCGCTTCCCAAGCAGCTGAAATCAGCAAATCCTGGTTCTATGCCCTTGCCACTGATTGCACACCTGCAAAGCTATGAGCAAGTCAAAGGAAGACATTACCAACAAATGAGCGTGAGAAATCACCAAGCCAGCAATCCAAGGATGTGCATTGCCCAACACCCATTGGCTGGGAATGCTGTGAGAAGAACGCCGAGCTTTTCAACCCCCGCCCTACACATGCTGCTTACGGCAGATGAGTCACTCCTGCTTATCTGTTAGATGGCATTCTTAACTAGAAACCTGACCCACACGATGCAGTGCTCTTCAAGTGAAGGTTCCCAATCTCGAGGCCTCTTACAGTGTTCAGTTGCCGAGGCTGGGGTCACTTATAGCTCTTGATGCGTGTTCACAGAAAGGCAGCACGGCCGCCTTCCAATCTAGGGCGACTGCAACAATCAAGGCGAGAAAGACCGTCCTCACCTGGGCGCAACTGCATCCGACTGGTTTGTATTTGGCCAGGCTTTTTCTTCGCATCGCCTGACGGCCTCCCAACTGGTTGTGCCCGCCAAAACGGGGAGAACACTCATACGTACAAGCCACCTCTGGTTCCAACAAAATGTATGCACGCACCTAGCGGCCGTGACACAGCCGATTTGGACCGATGGTGTGGCTTTGTTGCTTGTTGGGACGCCCAATGACGCCATACCTGGCAAAAATGTTTTGCCCTGCAGTGCCTAAAATTCTGGGCATTCTTCGAGCAGCCCTACCCTGCAGCAAGCTGCAACTCGCCCCCTTCAATCACATTCTAAGTGGTACACCCAGAAAGGAAAGTCAGTGCAACACGTGTCAGTGGCGATACAGGTCAATGCAGAGCATCACTGGGGCGCGGCGTGCCAAACAATTACACATCCCAATGCGAGCGCAAGATGCAACCACCTGAAACGAGTCAATATAGGCTAATAATAGAACGAAACCCTAGTGCGACATGTGGCACCATGTAACAGTTGCCATCCATGCCATGCGGATTGCATCACAAACAAACTCGGAACAACGCGCCTTCAAAGCTGAGTGGCTCAGTCTTATCTTAGCATTGAGCTGGCATCGGTATTGCGCTGTGTTCGCTGTGGTACGTACTTTATGCCTGTGTTTTTTACTGGAATTGGCATGGTGTAGATTTGGTCCTGGTTTGGTCATGGCTCAGCATCGCCGCAGTACCATACCCAGAAAAAGCGTCCGAGAATCAAATGGCCACTATGCGGCCAAGCACGGCAAACTGAACAGCGAAAACCATTTTGCCAAAAGAGACTAAGCCTTCTGGGCTGCCATGTACATGCTTGCTTTGGGGTTCCGCCACACCAGCCCAAGAATCCAAGCTTAATGCAGTTGAGTGCCGGGTTGCATTTAGGGACCAAGGTTCTTCCCCTCGCAAAGAACAAAACACGAAATGCGCAACTGGAAAACCCCAGAACGCTCCATTTGAAGAGGCCAGCCTTCCCGAGAACTCGAGCGCCGCGCGCTGTTCAGCAGGAGCTCCACGAACCGATTCACCTGGAGGTGGAACACACGCCAAAGTGCGGGCAATTCGTGGCAACTTCCAATTTCTTTGGCAATTGGCTGTCGCATGTTGTGTGACACGCTCCGGTCGTGGCCCCCGTTCCCAAACCCGGCTGAGCGCGCCCGTCTCTTCCCTCGAGTCCTTGATATTTCCCAAGCGCCATGGCCTCCTCCACGCCTTTGAAGACTCGGAAGAGGCGCAGCAGCCGCAGCAGCCGCAAGGTGCGCAGCACCTCCAAAGGCCGCAGTCGGCTAAGCTCTGCCGAGACTTGGAGCCTATGGTATGTCGGCATCATGCCATACCAGGGGTGAATGTGGCAATGCCAAGCTACACAAGGTCCCAGCAGTCCATCCGGTTTGGCCAACACACTGCGGTAACTTCCACTCGCCTTCATCTTCTGCATGGCGGCACCTGCCATGAACTCAGACGCACATAGCGGGTTGCCAAGCTAAAGGGTACCTTCTTGGCTCTGTTCAAAGGGAAATCAAAAGCATTTCGGGATCGGTTCCCCATTGAGAGAAACACCCACACTAGCAGCTATTTTGGGGTGAGCGAGCCATGGCCCATTCATGACCCATGCAAAGCTCATTGACCCAGCCAGTGTGTTGAGTTCAGCAATCTTCATTGCAGCTTCTAACTGGCTGGCGCTAGGAAGCCCGGTTGCTCATTGGTAAGGAAGGATGACAAAGCAATTCTTCCAGTTTGGTCGTCCCAAACCTCAGCCAGCTACATATTTGAGCATTGCATATTCAAAAGCCACATCTTGGCCCACCATGTGTTTTGCCCCTTAATGGTCGTGCTTCCAAGCATAGCCCACCACCTGGAGCTCGAGAACGCAACAGATCGAGCGTGCCCATAATGTGGACTTGAATAAATGTGAGGCCAGTGATCAAACGTGCATATGGGTTCTTGTTGGCTCGTCGTAAAAGCTCCGCGAGCAACTCTTGATGCATGCACCTATGCTGCGTGAGGTGTGTATGTGCGCGTGTCAGTGTGCATGTGTGCATGTATGTCTACATGTCGGGGTTGATCAATATTCCTGGCCCCCTGGGTAACTTTTCCCATTTAGTGGGAAACATCATCTTTTTCGTGGCTTCGCCCAATGTGCACGCGGGTTGTGCGTGCAGTGACTCGCCTTTCTGCCGCATCTATCTCCCGCTAATGGCGACAGCCCCGGCGCTGGGCAGTCCCCCGAGCACTCACTTGCAGGCCAAAAGTGCACCCAGTTGCCACGGGAGGGAACACTTCTTGGCTCGATTCTCAGGGAATCGCCTGAAACAACGTTACCTCTGGGGTTCTTCTGGGTACTTGTTCTGCGCATGGCGCACGTCCGCCAGTCAAGTGTCGTCACTTTCCCGGCTTTGAACCCAAGATGGACCATCCATGTTCAGCCTGAGGTCAAGGATTGGACCAGCCTCCACGATGCCATCTCAGATGTCAAAGCTTCTGAAGAACAAGCTAAGCAATCCCAAAAGGGGGATTCC